CTTTACTTCTTGCTTAAGACTTCCTCTAGTTCTAAGCCTTTTATAAACCGACTCGCCTTGAATAGATGCCAAGTCTCGTGTTTAGGAAGAATGCTACTTAGTTGTAGTATACATACCTATACCTATAAAACAAGAGGAAATGTTTAATTACTACGCGTGCGATATTACCCCTGTTGCCAACTAGTTTATTACTCGCAAACTAGATTATAAAACAAATATGAGATACTACTTAAAGCGATTCAAATTCTATTATACACAATAAGGTGATATAATAAGAATCCTCTACAAAGATAGAATAATATACACACGACTAACTGCCTATAGGCACGTAACAAGAGAAAGCTTTATGGAAAACCGCCGACAATCAATTAGATTTGACTGTAATGAAAACACTGAAATCACCTAATTGTCACTCCCTATTTATACCTATCCCACCGGTGGCGTGACCTGGGTAGTATGCTCCTCCAAGAGCGTCCCCTCAGGGAACATAATCTCGTCGGTCACTTACTGTAATGAGTGCCGTTTCGCGTATGGTCGCGACGATTTTCTACTGAACAAATAATGATGTCTTGACAAAGTTACAAACTCAGTTAAAGTTGTATTATGAAGAGTCGTTTTTGGGTTGTTTTTAAAAAATAAAATGACTTCTTTTACAACTTTTTTGAGACAAGTCATTTTACAGATTTTATGCTGCCGAAGTCGCTGTTGGTTTATTCTTTTTACACTCTAAAGGCATCATATATCGTGATTTAAAATTAGACAACATTATGTTAGACAAAACCGGTCATATCAAAATAACAGATTTTGGAATGTGTAAGGAGAATATTTTTGGCGATACAACAACAAAAACATTTTGCGGTACTCCAGACTATATTGCACCTGAGGTTTGTTAAATTATAGTTTTTATGCTTCATTTTTGTTTACTACACCAGCAGTTGGCACTAGCTTGGCAGTAACAGCTACAATGTTTTTAGCATGAGGCTTAGATAAAAATTAGAAATTTTGGTTTGTGTGAGAATATCTTTGAATCACATTTGGCAAGTCTTGACTAAATAGTTCATTAAACTATGATCAATTGCTTAGGCAAAAACTTTGGCACATTTGTCAGACAAAGTAACAAATACTTAGTGATAAGTGATTTTATTCTTCACACTGATCTTTTCCAGTAAATCAACTGCTCAAATTAAACACTGCAATTATTCAGCTGTAATGCAGTTTAAAACGCTCATTTGAATCACGGATAACATATTGTCAATTCCTTTATTTATAATTCACTTTGCGGCCATTAAAAGTTGCAGATTTATGTAAATGATAAAATTTTAAGAGCGAAAGAGATTTTTCTGTTTTGTTTTCAACAAACACTTTTTTTTGATATTTTTACAGATCATTCTCTATCAACCATATGGTAAATCTGTAGATTTGTGGGCGTATGGAGTATTGATATACGAGATGCTTGCTGGACAACCACCATTTGATGGTGAAGATGAAGATGAACTTTTCACTGGTCAGTTAGTTCGTTATCATAGAAGTACAAAAAAATAAAATTCAGATTGCCCTGAACTCTACGTTTAATAAAACGAGAAGTTTTCAAGACCTATTTTTTTAAAGTTATTAGTAGCTAAATAAGAGTTGATTAATTTCAGCGATAACTGACCACAACGTTTCATATCCGAAATCAATGTCCAAAGAGTCAGTGTCAATATGTAAAGGTTTGATGCAAAAAAATCCTAGCAAGCGGCTTGGGTGTGGTAAAGATGGCGTTCGAGATATTAAAGTAAGTTTCCTTTAACAACCAAAAAAATACAACATTTTTTTTTAACATTATTCTTTTTTTTTAATCTATACATTATGATATAACGATGCCTATTTTTTATTTTTCGGTCTTTATGAATAAATAAGAATTAAGCAAATTTCTTCAGGAGCATGCGTTTTTCCGTCGAATAGACTGGGATAAAATTGAATCACGGCAAACTCAACCACCGTTTAAACCTAAATTAGTAAATTTTTTGCATTCTTATCTAGTGCTTCAGAGAAACCAAGTTTAAATTTGGACAGTTTATTTTTAAGTCACTTATGACCTTTTGTGTAGTGACTGTCAAGCAAGTTAATCTCTCGATAACTGACTTCAGAGTTACATAAATCTGATGGAATTACTTCCGCAGCTAAAAATTCTAAACAGATTGTGTTACATTTTTCGTTATATTTCATCTTTATTAGCTGCGTTTATATCCTTTTTAGAAACTGCTTTTTAATACAGTTAGCATTAGTTGAATCATAATGGTCTTTTAACAAACTTTCAAATTTTTTGAAGACTTACTGAACAGATAAGCGCTGTAGATTGTTCAGTACAGTGTTGTTCCAACCTTTGTATCTAACCTTTTGTTTCGACCTATTCTCGGATTGTTAGAAAAATAGACAAGTTACTATTATTTGTTTCAAGAGTTAAAAGAATTAAAAAGTAGCTTAATTTTCGGTCTAGTTAGGGCTGCCAAATCGGCAGTATTACTGTTCTACAAACCTGTAAAAAAATGGAATTTTTTACACATGTGGAAAACTATTAAAATGCACTGAGAAAAACATGAGATCGCAAAATAATCACCAAGAAATTAAAAAAAAAGGTCAGGCTTTTTGCTTTTAAACTACTCTTATTTTAGGCGTTGTTAGCTGCTAATTTTTACTGTTTCAGAAAGACGACAATTCCACGGAAAATTTTGATTCATTGTTTCTAAAACAACAGGTCAAATTGACAATGCCGGATTGGGTGGTTCTTGGAAACTTGCGTGGCGATGAATTCGCTAATTTTACCTATATTAATCCAAATTATTATCAGGCAGTAGCTGATGAAAATTAGTTTTATGTAAATTGTTTGTGCGGTGTACCATATAATAAACACTTATTTCCTTGAAAAAAAAATTTTTTTTTGAAGTAAATTTTAAAAAGAATAGGTTTTTTTCTTCAGAAAATAACTTCTTGCTGCCTTTCTTGTCAAGTGTATAAAAAGTGACGGGTAGTGATTAACTTATTTGTAACTGTTTCTTGATACTAAAATTTTTTTTCGCAATACTCTTTGTTTTATTGTTTATTTAATCCGCTATTTTCTTCTTCTTTTTGTCTCGTCTTTTTTTTCTCATGCTTATGCTTATTAAGCGGAGTAACCCTTATTGGCCCACACTTCAATTTTCTTTTCTGTTTTAAAACGATGCAAAAACAAAAAAATCTAACTTCAAAAAAAGGTATTTTCTACGGTTACTACTTTTGTTGAAAATATTTGCTATCTGACGTTTAAGTTATACGCAGTTAACCACAGTGTAAAATTTAAAAAGCTGTTCAGGCATTTATCAAATCGGTAAAATGTTTGCTTTTTGTTTTATATTGTCGTCATTGTCGTCAGTTATCGTTATATGATCTCATAATTTTTCTTCTATTCATAAATACATTTTTTCTTTTTTTTTTTTTCTCTATTTGCTTTCTTTTTTCCTTTATTGATGCAGACGAAAATTAACTGCAAGAGAAAAGGTCCATTTTTCATTTGAACAGTGATCTATATATGTAGATTTTCTAATTATCAAATTGGCCAACGACTTTTTTGATCTGTTTTGCCGGTGAGATCCGGTCACTATCAAGAATATAAGCAGGATGATACTGCTGTTGAATATTTTTCTTGAGCAGTTATTAGTTAAGTTACACTTATTAAGCTGTTATTTTTATATTACTTTAACAGAACATAGAAGTGATAGTTGCTGACCGATTGCTTACTAGTGTTCTTTCAAAAAAAAACTACTTACTTCAGTCGAGATGAAAGAATTTATAGGTTCTAGTTTTAAAAAATCTTGCTCTCTATTGTCTTCTTGCTGATTAGATTATCCGCAGACAGTCATCTAGGTAAAAATTGATGTTCAATAGATAAATAGAAGTTTTTTTGCTATTTATTTATATGAGCTCTATATATTTGTTATCAATAGCACTCTGAAATTTATCTATTTCATTCGGTAACCAAAAGCAAAAATTGGATAGAATAGCGATAATAACACTTTTCGAAATTACCAAATTCTAGCAAATAAATTACTGTTCTTCTCCAAATTTTTTCTTCTAAATTGGCTTCTTATTTGGCGTTTTAGCGTTTCTACTTGTAAACCAAAGTTTTTGTGTCTTTTTTTCCTAGTAGGTTACAATTCAGTTTTGATTTTTACTGTTTATAGTTGTCTCATAATTATTATTTTTAATTTTACTTATACCTTTATATTTAATTTCATTTTTATCTTTAGCTTTATTTTTATTATTATTAACATCGTTATCATCCTTATTTTTACTATTAATATCAATATTATTAATGTCTTGTATTGCTAACAAGAAAAATGAATCTTCTTCAGTTTTACAGATTAATACAGAAAGCCATAATTTTTACTAGTTAAACAATTTGCTGTAAAATACATAATCAGGGTTGAAAGTTTTGGGGTTTTTGATGATTAGTTTTAACACAACTTTTTGTAACTGGCTTCTCAAAAATTACTTCTTAAATCCATCATGTTGTGTAGCGACTATTTTTTATTCTTCTACGGAATTACGCTAAATTCTTCGTTTTTTTTTCTGTAATTTATGCAGAAAATTTCATGTTAGTAAGATACGCTGCAACGAAGGTAGCGTTAGCATTACTGAAACCCCAATTTGCGGTCATCATCAAACAGAATTTCTTGATCGATGTAAATGAACAGTTTCAAGTGTTAACAGTAACCGAAATTACTGCCGCTAAATATACACTCGGAATTCACAACTCAATTATACCATCTTGGTTCTGGGTTATTTCTTTAAAATTTATGAGGCTTCAAAAAATTTTATGAGTTAAGCTGTCTGGAGGCTAAGGTGAAACAGAATTAGTCTGCATTTAATGAGCACAAGACTGATAAATTATTATATTCTCAGTAACGATTATTAACTATTCACCAGTTATAACTGCTGCTGCTTAATATCTTCTGCATTTGAAGAAGGGTGTTTTTTCCAGATTAATCAGACAGATTTTGGACAACTTCTACTTAACTCTATAAACGCTTTTGAGGTCTCGACCTAATACTGCATATTACATTCTTCTAAATTGTTACTGTTGTACACTTTCACTGTCTTTTTACATCTAAAATCATTCCAAACCTTGAAAAACTATTGAAACTATTATTATTCTACTTAAACTGTCACAGGATTTACGTAACACTGCTACCATAAAACTTTTTGTTGAATTGAAAAAACCAAAACTAATAATATTTCTTCAAACTCCTTTTTTGTTGCTTATTGTTAGTTCTGCGTATTTCGTGTAATATTTGTTTCGAAAGACAGCAATGAAAAAAGTTTAAAACTATATATATATATATATATATATATATATATATATATATACGATATATATATATATATATATATATATATATATATATACATTTGTTTATTTATTTATTTTTATGTGTAAAAATATTTGATTTCTCGTTTTGATTATTTGCGTTTTTTATTAAGATTGGTAACCATTATTTATTTGTTGTATAGCAGATTGTGTATTTTTTATTCAAATAGATTATATATTTTCAAATAGGCATTACCAACTTTTTTATTTTTAGAGCTGAGGCATTTTTTTCTATGTTAGCTTCAAATGTTTTTGAAAGTTTATTTAACGCATTGATTTACATTTATATAAAACCGTGTCCCTTTTTTTTCATTTTTTTCTTTGAAACTAGCAGTGGCTTTCTTTGTGTAGTTTCGCTGAATAGAGACAATTTGTTTAGAAAACAAGAAAAAAAAAGAAAGTGGCTTAGAGGAGAGGGTTACTAGAAAATAAAAAAAAAACTGCACCTAATTGTTTTTTATCTTTTTTCTATTTGTTACTCAAATGTTACTGCTATTCTAAAAATATTCTTACATTTTGTTTGCGAGTATTGTTTTTGTCATTTATTTTGATTATTTGTGCAAGTAATGACTATAAAAAATTGAAAATACAACACGTTTTAAACACTTTGTAATCTGTTTAAGCAGTTGAATTGTCAGATTAAAAAAAGAGCTAAACAGCAGTTCATCGGCCAATGTACCTGTGGCTTGGATTTGTCAATCATTTACAGGGTTTATTAGTATTTCCAATTTACAGTAGTGCTGTTTTATAAATTTATAATTCAACAGAATGTCGATGAGCAAATGAGGACAGGTCTAGACCAAAAATCGCAGAAACGGACAGTTGAAAAACCTTCGCTGTCATATCGCCTACGTGGTGGAGAGTGCAATAAAACTCCATCAGTTCCAATATTCAGGAACGGCTGGAAGACTCATTTTTTATCATCTTCTGCTTTTTTCGTGATAAGCTGTTTCAAAATTACTGACTTTTTATACACGGGCAGTAAATGTTTTTCTTAAATAACCAACCACAAAAATGAAAACTCAATGATATTAAGAAAAACTTCTATTTTTAATAACATCATTTAAGTACTAAATATAATACTTGAGAAAAGTAAAGGTTAGTTATTACGCGGTTGATTTGTCGACTGAACATCACTGGCCGGATTTATATTTATAAATGATTTGTCGTTACGATTTTATTATCTTCGTTTTGATGTCACCGTTGAAAAACTGAAAGATGTGGTTGCAAAAAATAATGCAGAGAATGCCACAAAAAATGATGTCGCACCGCTCTTTCCTCATTTTTATTATGCTTTCATTGGTTTTGAGCTCAAAAAATACTAGTTTTTGAGAAGAAACTACAGCAAAAAGTTTGTGCTTGATTACTTTGATACAGTACCAGCGGGATTAAGTTTGCGCTGAAACCCGACCTATTTTGTATTGACCTTTATTGTCTCAAGTGCCTTATTCCTTTTCATCGTTTTCATTAATAACTACGGAAAAAACACTACACTGTTTGAAAGTTTCTCTGATTTAGCTGATTTCACATTCAGTACAATAAAAGAAAAATTCTGCATTAAGTTTCATGAACATATAAGCTCTTCTTATAGGAACAGTGCAACTGTTGTGCAAATTTCGGTCTAAAAACTGATAAAACAGAATCTAATTATACCGCTTTAAAATGACGTAATCTTTGTAACGCTATACTTCCGACTATTTTTAGCACTCAAGTGCTTTTCCATTTTGCAGACGCATTATTGTTTTGAAATGTATTGAAGTCTAAAACGCTTCCTGGTATTCTGTCAACAATAGTTATTCATATTTCTTGCCAATGTAAGATGAATTTAGTAAGCAGTTTGTATGAAATGTAACAGCATCATTTTGATGAATAAAATCTGTTTTCATTTACTTCTGATCTTTTTGAACAGAAGATGTTTATGAAAGCCGGCATTAATTTGATGGCAACATTAATATGGCAGCTCATTTTCAAAACATCTAATTTCACCTAAGCGGCCATAAAATTGTAAACATCAAAAAAAGGCAAAAATAGCTGTAAAATCAAAAATTGATTAAAAACTTTGCCACAATCTAAAACAGCAATCTAAAATTGATGCCAAAAACAAATCGACTTGCTAAGACAATAGCAACAGAATTCATCGTCTGTAACATTCAACAGAGGCAGCCTGTGAATAAACAATGCCTAATCCACATTGATTTACATGTAAACCAAAAAAGTTTAAATCAAACTGTAGAAAAAACCTTTTTTCATTGTTACAATTTAAAACAGCAGCTAAAGAAACGAAAGAAATTTCATTGAGTTATCAGTGTTAAAAATGGGCAAGAAGAAAAAAAAATTATGATGCAGATAAGAGTAAAACTGAGGAATTTTTGTGTTTTTGGTAAACTTCAATTCCTTAAATCAGTTGCTCATTGGAAGATTAGTTTGATCACATAAACTGTTGCTTAATTTCAGACGTGAAACGA